TTCTTGAAAGTACCTGACCAAGGAGCAGCTGGGTAAGATTTTACATTGAATCTGATAAAAAGATGTCCATTTTTGCAAATATTTTTACACACTCAAACTGTTCATGACTGATACACTCTGTGCATCAGTCACCAGGTTGTACTCTTGAGCTGTACTCAAAGGTTATCATCCATTCCATCAGATTCCAAAGCATACTCCATCCCATAGGAATAAAGGTGAACCAGTTCTGGTTTAATATCTTAAATATGAATGTTGAAGGCCTTAAAAAATGTTAAGGTTTTTCAGTCACCCCACAGTTTCTACTTTAACTCGGCCCTTACTCCACTCTGTTGTAGAATATTAATGGAGCTTCACTGCAGTGGGAATCTTAAGTGTTACTTAATTGTCAAATTCAGCAGTTCTAGGAAAAAAAGAATTTAGTTTAGAAGCAGCAGTTTGCTGATGACTCCCATGATCTGCATGAATGGGTGTTCTTGGAGCCAGCAAAAGTACATTTATTTCTAACCATATCGAGAGCAACTTTTTGTGTGAACAGCTCTGCCTCAGCTGTCAGTCAGCAGACAAACCCCTGGGCAGGTGTTCTGCACTAAATTACCCTGTTGGTCTAAGCATTCTTCTGCTGTGTTATCCACCAAGGCTGATTATTAAGCAGATTAGTTACAATTTAAGCGAGCATTACAGACCTCACAGTTGTCAAACAGTAACATAAATGTGCACAAATGATAGATTTTGAGAATCAGAAGTGCCCCCAAGGGTTCCCAAGGAGGAGCTTTCCAGTTCCTAAACACAGAGCCCTCAAGAAGGGTTAGGCATGTGCAGAGGTCTTTGCAGTTGTACTGAATGGGTCATTTTTCCCCTCTGTGCCAAGGGTCAGCCATAAGATATTTCAGGCATATTTAGAGCTTTTCTTTGTTAAAGATTAATCTTCAAATAAGAAAGAAATCAGAAGTAGCCACTGCTACTTATTTTACCACTTTCAAACTCATCAGCACATGCTAACAGGGGCATCTCCATCTTGTAATAACTTCCATGGCTTTTAGTGGTGAAATGTTCTTGGCACATGTCAACTTCTTCCTAAACTCTTTTACTAATATTAAACTTTACTTGGTCTTAGACTACAGTTCATGGAACAACAAAAACACATCAGCCACAGGATAAAAGCAAAACCCAACGTGCCAGCTGTTCTGCAGCAGTAACAAACCTAAGTACTCTTAGGAAAGTGACATTCCTAGGCTGTCTTCCTGAGCATTATGAGCTCCTTTATTAATACACTGAAAAGAAACAACATAACTCTATTCAGCAGAGGGTTTCAGACACACTGTTCTTTGCAAAAGGAAGCTGTGAGCTAGAAGAGATGTGACTTTAGTATTTCAAAACCAGTGATATATAAGTAGATGCAATTTTTAAGGAGTAGAATTGGGTTTATTTTTAGCAAAGCTGCCAAGAAGGATACAGTGATACTAACAATCCAGTGCAGGACCAAGATTAAAATCAGCAGGCTCCCCCCAGCAGCAAAACATCTTTTAAGATACTGTAGTTCTACCACAGCTGCACAAAAGCTGAGCTACTTTCCACTGTGCTGAATTCTTTCATTTCCGTACGTAGGTTTAGCTCTCAGTGTTTCCTATCCTGAGCAAAGGCAGTAAGTAGATGCTGAAGAACAGGAGAAAAATCTCTCCCCTCATAGATACACTGAGAACTGAAGTGCTGTTATAATCCACACTTCTAATCTTATTTTCTGGTGCAGTTCACTACAAAGTTAGAATCAGAGCTTTATTGACAAATTAAGCCTAGGACGTCATGTAAGGAACTGTAACCCTGTCCTGCAAAAGCCATGTTACATTATCATGGCATTACTGACATGATCACAGTTCATTCTCCTCCACATCATCCCATTTTCAGTCATTCAGCACATATATTATTCATTTTAAACTGACATACTGAGTCTAATACCTGTTCTCTCTTCCAGCCTTTATTAGCTGATGAGCTGGCAAAAGGCATTTCTCCCTCTTTCCCTTTCCTAATCTTTGGAGTGGTCACAGCTGTGACAGTTTGTGCAGCATCTCCCCTGCTGCTTCAGAGTTTGCTATAACAGAACAAGTCCATAGATGGCCCTGGAATCTGAGGGAACTTAAGAGATGCAAGTCTCTGTTACAGCTTAGTCACAAGAATGGTAAAGTAGCAAGCCTGTGAGCTAGAACTTTGTTTTTGATACTGTAAAGTGAATCACTGGTGACACTGGGGCAAGGGGAGAGACACAGCCTGAGCTGTGTAGATGTACCAAGATATGCATGAACTGCATGTACACATTTCCTTCCATTTCAGCCTGGGCACTAAATGTCTTCTAAGCATTGGAACTGCTGTTGGGAACTTGTCCATTTCCATAGGAAAGAAATGGCAACCCTGACCCTTTTACAGGGAAGTCTCACACTGCTATTTTGAGTTGTTGTGTTTTCCCTTTTTGTGTGCCATTGTTTGCAATGGATCCATTAAGAGAGGGGTTTGCTGGGGCTGAGGTTTGGGTGTCTCAGCCCCTGCTGTGTGTGGCAGTGTCCGCAGGCAGACGTCGAGCCGCCCGCCGCCCGCCGGGGGCCGGCCCAAGCCGCAGCCCAAGCCCAAGCCGCAGGTGCCGCAGTGCCGCGCGCTCTACGCCTACGACGCGCAGGACACGGACGAACTCAGCTTCAACGCCAACGATGTCATCGACATCCTCAAGGAAGGTACGGGCACACCCAGCTGCCACCAACACGCTGAGCTTTGAGCTACGCGGCCACAAGGAGTTAGGACAGCACTTCCTGAGCCACCCCACTTCATCTTCTGTTGGGCGTGCAAATTCCCATACTGGCCCAGGGGGCAGAGGAGCCTCCACCCCAGTCCAATCTCTCCCCTCAAGAGGATGTCAGACAGACCAAGGATCTGTCACTGCAGAGCTGTACACTTAGTGAGATACTAATTCTTGCTCTACAGGAAAATTAGGCTAAATCACAGCTGTAGCACAAAAAGCAAAATGTAATTAAGCAGTTCAAACTCTGGGTCCCCAAAGCACCCTCCTCAAGGCAAAAAGATGTGGCCAAGAGATGAACACACTCCAAAAAATCCTGTCCCCTCATTCCTTCCCAGAAATGCTCTCACTGAGTGGGCACAGCTTTGCAAGGTTGCACCAAGTACACAGAAATGCTTCCAGAGCCTCACCCCTTACCTTGCTGTCTTTGTTACAGATCCTTCTGGCTGGTGGACGGGAAGGCTACGAGGGAAACAAGGTCTGTTTCCCAACAATTATGTCACCAAGATTTAAAACACTGTCAGAGAAAAACTGGCATGAAGGTAGCAGTGGTTGAAGATATTTTCCCTGCCTTCAGGACACTGTTCTTCCAAGGTCTGCCTTCTCAGCAGTATTTTCACCAGTAAATTTGTGTATGAGCAGGAAGAGTTTCCCACAGTACAGACTTTGATTTTTGTCTCAGCACCATACAGCAATGAACTGACCAATTATTTATTATATTTAAAACCTGGTTTAAACACCTGGTAAGTGAAGAATGCTCAAACCTACCACCTTCCTGAAACAGGTGCTTTACAGTCTGGAACCAGGGACTTTGAAAGGGGTGTATTTATTAAGTGCCTTCAGCTCAGTATCAGTAACCTTTTTAATTATCTACTGAAGATAATGTTGAATGCACATTTCCCCTAATGCAGATCATTCTGGGGAACATGTTAATAAGTATGCTGCTACATGTCAAAAAGATTTAGGCTCATTTGGGATATTACCATCTGAAAAACTACTGTGATGGTCTATTTAATTCTGTACAGAGATGTAATGGAACTGGTTTGTGTTTGCAGGTGTGTTAGGGACTCCAACAGGCACTGTAAGACTTTAAAACAGAAAACCACATAGTACTGTATGCTAAACAATGTTGCCTTCTTCAAGATTTATATTATAATATGGCTGGCCCATGTTGGATTTATGTTTAATACTCTACCTGTTATAGGAAGTGTCTTTATGCAGAGCTGTACATTTATAGAAATAGTTATATACTGTATATAAAAACTGGTTATGATAGAAACATGTATAAATGTATAATGCAGTAGTCCACTGTTCTTACGAGGTAGTACTGCTAGAATTTTTATGCCAGGTACTTACAGATATGCACTACTCCTTCTCCTTTTAAATAGCAAAAGCACAGGTGTTACTGCCCAAGTCTGCCTCCCCCAGAGTGGCTGTTGCTTGCCCTGCAGTTCTGAGAATTCCTGCTTTGCCTTTTGAACCTCCATAAAATAAAACACAGGATGATCAACAGGTTTGTTCTCTGTGAAGTTTGTTCTCACATATACAAACATCCCTTGACAACAATGGCTTCAGGATTTTACTGCACTGACTTCTGAAGAAAGAATCCCTTTCTTCACTCCAAATTATTTTCCCTATGCCCAGCTGCAGTGCCATGCATTTCATTCTCTCATGTTAAGAGCAGTTAAAAGGCCCTGCCTATGCTGGTATTAAAAGCTGCAAAAGCTTTAAGATACAGCTAAAAATCTTGAATCCCTCCCAAACCATTGCCTAAATCTAACTTAGGTACACAAACTTTATCTTCTATAGCAGCTGTTTCTGGGAGCCAGAAATGAGGACCTCACTTCAAGGGAGGAATAATATCCACACAAGGAATGAGGCACATTTTTCAGAAGACATTTTGCAGCAAGTGCTAGGCTTACTTATCCCAGGGGAGAGAAAAATCTCCAGCTTGAGGAGAGAAAACCCAGTAGAGCTTTAGCATCCTTCCCACAGGGGAGCACTGAGAGGTCTAGGGCACTTCTGTAGTGTTGGGTTCTTGCCTTCTACATCAGAGCCAGGCACACTCATGAAGAGATGCTGAGCAGGCATAGAACAGCTAGGCATGGAAGGGAGGTACTGAGTTCAGTATAACCTGGGGCCTATCAAAAGGTCTATTTTAACATTACTTACACAAGATTAATTTAACAAATAGACATGAGGTATTGGGGCAGAAAAGTTGCATTACTTACATGGTTGTATTCCCTGGGCATACAGATGCTGACACTTAGGTTAGAAACACAGACAAAAGCAAGCAAAGTGCCAAGGAGGTGACAAGAAGAACTGCCTTATGCTGGGTTTGACTCTATGATCCCAGGTGCAGAGGTTTATTGGAGAAGCAGGGGGGAAAAAGGTGGGCAAGCAAACAGGTAACAAAAAACCTAAGGGGGTTCTTTTCAGGAAGTGGAGGAGGTTTCAAGGGTGAGCTGCTTTCAGGAGGTTTCATGCCCATAGTTCCACATCTCTAGTCCCTGCACAGCATTCAGGAGCCTTCCAATTCTTCTACCTTAGCTCCCTTTTGTTTAGCACACAGAGAAACACAAAGATTTACAAGGTTAATACCTGTTAAAGATAGCCTACATCTTTCCCCAAACTTGAAGATGGCTAACTCCAAAGAAAGAAATAAATTCCAGTATACTTTCTTGAAACAAGGCACTGAAAAAAGTACATATTTAGTGTTCTTTAAGGTACAACAAAAAAACCTGTCTGCCTTCTCTATCTTAAGAGTGAAATAAGTTAATAAATATAGTGCAATATATAAAGCTTGGAGATTCTCTCTGGAAACAACCACAGAGAATAACCAAGCCCATTGAACTGCAAGTTGTAACATTCACCTGTTTAGTAAAATGTCCCACTTGGACATTAGATTGCAAATATGTAGGTTGTACCTTAAAGAGTCACACTCTCAATATTTAAAAGAAAGGAGTTTTATTTTTAGATAGAAAGCTGTATTACAAAGCAAATTTAAAACGTCACCTTCAGTGTGAGTCGGAACTGTCTGTGGGAGCTGGAATGCTATGTACAAAAGCAGGAGACAAAGTGCACACACCATCAGCCCTGGCTGCCCAGGGCCTCACAGCAGTGATGCAGCCAGATCCTTGATGATCTCACTGTTCAGCTGAGGGATGGTGCTGATGGTCAGTAGTTTGCTGCTTGCATACTTGTTCTTGATAGCCTGCAGAGACCAGAGATACAAAAATTTCATGCATACACCATTGACAGGCAGGTAATTTTGGGGCAGTTTGTCTGCCTGCTTGAAAAACAAACTGAACCATTTTGCAAAGTAACAAGAGCACAATTTGTCTAAAAGGTTTTGCTGTTAACAGTAATGCAACAGCCTCTTATAGGCTTGTCAGAGCAGCATATGCTTTAAGATAACATACAGAATATTTACCTAAGGAACTACAATATGCAGCAAAGATATTTTGAAAACATTAGAGAAAGTATTTAAGTAGTTAATACTTACAGTGTATTTTGTTAACTTCTCATTCACTTTGACTACATTCTTGGCCATATGTTTCATGGTCATCACAAGGCCATCTTCTGCATAGCCAGTGTAGTACTGCTGCTTTGTACCCTGCAGCAGAATGGGAACAAACTTGAGATTTGTGAGGGAGGAATTGCTGCTTGAGACACAATCAGTTCAGAGAGCAAACACCCCGAGCTCACAGCTAAGCCCCAAGTGCTGGAAACTGTAGCTGTCAGTTCAAATGACAGCTCCAGAGCCACCTGATGGGCAGAAGTCTGGACACATCAATTTTAAAGACCATGCTTCTAGACTGAGCAGAGGATAAGAAAGCAACTACCAGCTGAATTACGACTCACTGCTCATGGTCCACAACTTCATTATGCTACATGTACTGCAAGAATTATGAAAATCTACTTTTACTTACAGTGTAGCCTTCAATAACTCAATGCTTTCATGAGAAAATCCTTTTGTAACCCCAGTATTCACAGAGAAAAGGATTGTGAGTTTTTACTGGTACATTCCTTATTCTACCTGCCACTGTGCATCCAGCTGCTCAACCATCATTCCAGCACCAGCACTGTGACCAACTAAACACAATTTTTAAAGTACTTTTTTACTGGTTGGATTCCAGTGAGTGTAGAACAAGTTTGATTCAAGTGCTCACCCATTTGGTGTGTCCCAGAATCCTCTGAGACAGGCACAGGGCAGCAGCTGCAATCTCTGAGGGCCGGTGGTGCACCATGTCATAGTCTATCAGGGTCAGCTCCATCAGGTATTTTGCCAGAGTGTGTTGCTTGGCATCGGCCTAGCAGGTGGAGAGCTTGTTAATCCACAGTTTCACTTCACTTTAGCATTATCATTCAGAATTGCTTATTGTGCTCAAGAACAAAACAAAAATAGCAAAATCTTTACTACAGTTTAGGGATCATCCTTTCTAACAGACATTCCTCTCAAAATCAAGACCAGCAGCCATTTGGAATTTAGACACAAAATCAAGTGAGGGATTTGAACAGAAATCTGCAGTATCAGGTACAGCTGTGCCCAACTAAGGACACTAATGCTCCCTCTGTAAAGCAAACTACAGAGGAGAGGTGTAAAATGACTGAGGGAGAAACTTATTTGAGTTACCCAGTGGTCTGCTGAGGTAACTGAAGCCCACCTCAAGTGTAGACAGTCACTTGAATATAATTACTGAGATGGAGAAAGAAAGGGTTGGGTCAAAGAGAAAGCTTATCTTTTGATTCTTAAATAACACAATATTTACAATCAGAAGTTACAAAGAACTGCAACACTGCTAGTGTTTTACATAATAATTAGCCTGATTTATATTATTTATAATATAAATTATTATAAATAAGTTTATATTATTTATAATATATAATATATATACTATATTTACTAATAAGTAGCCTGATCACCAAGATTAAAAAGATTAAAAGTGAGGCTTCTTAGTTTAACAGTAAAATTACTGCCACTAAGGCTGAACATGGCATCAGTAAATAGAAATGTGAAATGTCACTGGCTGCCACAGTGACATTGTCGTGTTAGGCCACACGGTGGAGTTTCAGAGCTGAGCATTCCTTCATCCAGCATTTAAGCTGGAGGAGGAAAGGTCACATGATAAAAACACCAGAAGCAATCCTTACAGGCTTTACCAATACAGGGAAGTGTAAGATAATGAGGACAAGTACCCACCTCCCCAGCTTTTGATGCTCTTCTTAAGAAGTGAATTGGAAGAGGTCGCCCCAGGTCAAAGTTTAATTCTTTAAGAATAATCATTTCCATTTCTCTAATTTCATTACTGGTGTAGGCATTGTCAGTAATATAAACAAAGTCTGCTACATCAGGAGACAAGATCTCTTCATATTTTGAAGCTACAAGCAGCGCTGTTACGCCCACCAGCTGAAGCTTCTTGCGAGGTACTGGGTGATTCTGCAACAGAGACATTTTTAAATGCAGGCCCTGAGGTGTCAAACTCTAGATAATCAAGATTCATATTTATCAGTTTAGAATGTTCATTCCTATAAATGAGGTTTTCACTCTAGGCAAAGGTGTCTGTATAGTAACAGGCTCAAAGAAGGCAGCAGCCTCAGAGTTAAGGTGCTGCACTGTCACAGCTTTGTTTGCACACGCATTGTTTTCTAAAGGAAAGTTAAATCCTGAACTCCTTTACAGCCATTGCAACTGAGTGATTACTGAGCATGGCCTGGGGGAGATCTCACCTGCAGGAAGCGATCCATGATGGCCACACACATGTACAGGGTCTCCTGCAGCAGGCGGAACCTCGAGTGCACCTGCACGAGCCAGTCCACCAGGATGGCGCGCATGCGCCCGTTGATCGTCCTCCCGTCCAGGTAGTGCGGACGGACAGACTGCTGCAGCTGGGGGGACAGACAGGGGGTGAGCAGCAGCCAGGCAACCCCCCTGAGACACCAGGGCAGCCCTGGGGCACCCTACCTCGAGCTCCCTCAAGTACAGGTAGATGTCTTTCACGTAGTCACTACACAGCTGGGGGTTCTCCCAGTCCTCTGCATCGATGTCTTCTACGTTGTTGAGCAGCACATCAGAGAAGGCCTGGCACAAATCCTCCTCCTGCATGGATACATCCATAGGGACAGGAGACAGAACCTGAGGAACAGATCATACCTGTTAACACGGATCGACTGTGTAAGCATCACTGTTCTTTGTTTCCATGTTTCACCCATCACTAATGCAACTTCTTTAGATAGAAGCCTGGGCTCCAGCACAGCAAGTTTCCACTGACATACCACAAACACAGAAACCCAAGATCTTCCAGTAACTGCCAGCTAAAGCAGAAACGTCTTCCAGTACTTCAGCAGTTCATTCTGCCACTTGACCATCATGCATTATGCCTTAAGTACAACATGCATTAAATGAAAACCTCAGCACAGAGACTTTGTTTCTTCAGCAGGGGAATGACATACAGCCACAGATAAACTATTGTGAAGGTAGAGCTCAAAGTTGCAAATCAAATTAAAAACCAGAACAGTATCATCAGTTCCTACCTTTGGAACATCAGTTTCTTTGTTTGCTTGATTTACAGCAGCTGGAGCTTTAGGCAGTACAATTCCATTTGTCACCTTGCTAGGTCCTTTCACAGGCTTTATAGATGCTTTGGGGCATTCTGTTTTCTGTAGTGAAAACATTTATTATTAGCACAGAGCAGCAACCCAACTTCTCCCTGTACAGAGATTTCAAATGTTCCTTTACCTTAGATATGTGTGTTCCTCTTGTTGCAACTTTATTTCCTATTTCTTCCAAAGCAGCCCTTTTGCCAGTCACATGAGTTTTCGCTTTACTTCTAAGGTCAGACACAGCATTCTCCATCCCTCTAGTGATCTAAAATGATAAAATTGCAAAAGTTTAAGACTCAGAGACCAACAACTTTCCAATGCCTGATCCATTACAGACCTACCACCACTGTACCTACTATGCATTACTCAACCAGCTTTTACTTCCTAGCCAGTCACATATATTCAGAGGAAGAAGCCTCCTCTCTAGGTTCAGAGCACTGTACTTCTGAACGGTGTTATAAAAGTAGACAATGCACCCTATCTCATACTTTTTAAGGTCAGAGCGCTCACCTGCTGTTAAAAGCTCTCACACTTTGTAACTCTAGCAGCGCCCCCCAGAGGATGCATAAAGCAAACGCCTGGTTAAACACATGCCCTATGAATTAAAAAGCTGTGCTGCACACGCAAAACCTAATACTCTTTGTTAAGCATAGCAATGAAACCACCAGGCTTCAGTTTTTTCGTGGAGTTCAGTTTAAAGCATTAGACAATCGCCACAGAAGCGAGGCTCCTGCAGTCCCTGCCTACACCTCCCCCTAGGGCAGCTTTAGTTTTCCCACTCCCACGTTCCCCGCAGTTCCGCGGGGGAGGCGCGGGCGGCCAAGGCCAGCCCGAGGCGGGGGCAGCGCCCGCGCTGCAGGAACGGGGCTCCGTCCCAGCGCTGGGCCACAGCTCGGCCCGGCCGCCGCCCCAGCCGCCGAGCCACGGGGGGGGCCGGCCGGCCCGAGAGCCGCCCCCCAACCCCCGCCGGCCAGGCCGCGGCCCTCGCGCTGCCTGAGGGCTAACACCGGCGGGGCCCTCGGCCACCGGCGGCCCCTCTCGCCCTCCCGCCCCCCCGACTCCTCGCCCCGGCTGCTCCTCTGTCGCCCCCGCGGCCCACCCGCCGCCTTCACAGGGGTACTCACAGGGGCACGGCGCGTCACCGGCAGCGCCATGGGCACGGACACAGGGAGGCCGCTGCCGCCGCTCCGCACAGAACCGCTCCGCTCTCCAGCCAAACCGGCGGCCGCTGCCTCACGCTGCCGCGGCTCCCTTTAAACCCTGTCCTGCTCTACTATTGGACAACTTCGTACGATGCACGCAGCCGATTGGTGCGTCTGCATAAGCCCCGCCCCAGCAGGAAACGGCTGCAGCGGCTTCCGGTGCGGGGGGCGCAGCGGCTCCCTCAGGGCGGGGCCGAGGCCGAGGGCCCTCAGGGTCCGCTGGGGTTTAACCCGAACGGCACCGGCACCGCGCCCGCCGCCCCCAAACGCCTCCCCGCGGGCGCTCCCCGCTCGGGACAGGCAGCCGAAGGTTTAATAACGAGTCCCGAGATTCAGGAACTTCAACGCTACCGCAGTTGCCTAAACCGACAAAAGTTTACTTGCAATTCTTCTCCAGAATTGCACTCCTCAAATTAGAATTCCAAGGTTCCCGATAACTCCATTTAGCAGGCTAATTAACTTCAGCTGAACGCTGATCCTTCACTAACAGTTTTTTCTTAGGCAGTACCTGCAGTAATACGTATAAACGAAAATGTTTAGGGATCAAGATTTCCAGTGCAAAACAATGAAAGGGGAAAAAATTGCAAAAGAAACAGATTTTGAATGATACCAGTCTAACATTTTATTTATTGCATACAAAAGGATTTCTTTTGACAATGGAATTTTATATGAAAAGTAATTTGATGCAGACTGTTGAGAATCTTATCTTTAAAGATGCTGCAGAAAACTTAAGGCAATGCATCTAAGCATATAAAGCACAGTAAGTGGTGGAAATTTTCAAAATGAAAAGCCTATTCCTTTTCCTTCCCTTAAACTATGGTTAAGTCACAACCTTCTGGAACAGAAGTAAGCTGCAGCTTTTTAGCCCCTGCAATAGCATTAAGATCAGAACACTGTGATTCCTGACAAATACCTAAGTGTTCAGCATCACATTACAACGTTATGCATACATTTAAAAGCAAGACAGTATCAGTAGCTATTATATAACAAATCAATTCATGGATCACTAAAATACCTCTAGTACCAGGCACTCAAATTAGACCCATAAAATATTTCCTTAAAAAGAAAAAAAAAATCCCCCCAAACCTGTGCTTCTCTGTCCTGAAAGGAAGCCAAAATAGATTCTATCACACACCCAGGGTCTCAGTTACTTCAGAGGCCCTGGGTTTTTTACCATATCTCTCAAGTACCTTCTTGGAAACTTTTAGAAATGAGTATCATCAGTCTTCAAGCATTAGTGGTCAATTAACTTCAACAGTCACTGGAAAACACAACGTGTCTGTTCAGTCCTTCCAGTTACTTTTATTCATTCTTAGCAGTGAACAGATTAATGCAGCTTCAGCTTTGCAGTCACTTTCAGTTTCCTACAGCCAGAATGTTCAAGAAGCTTTAGCATAAGCCCAAGTCAGGTTTTGAAGCAGTCCAATCTGTTGCCTCTCTCCCATATCCCCCATCATACAAGCGCAAAGTGGTTTTAAGTTCAGTTTCAGCAATGCCATTAAGCTTGAAAAGGTCCATTTATCACACATGCTGGAATAAAATTTCTCTGTTTAAAGCCTCAGTGCCAGAGGTGTGAAGTTTGTTGCCAGCAATAGACACTGTACTCGCAAATGCTACTACTAACAGGTAAAAAAAAAAATCAAATAAAAGGGAAGCAGCTTTAACCATACAGAAACAGGCATCAAGTTCCATAAGGTAATATTCATAAATGGATTTTTTAGTGTAAACATAAGAGTTTATCTTCTAGGTTTACTGTAAACCGTTTACACGTAATCTGATCATGAAAGACAAAGACAAGGAACTGAAGGTATTTATTATTCAATCCACTTACAAAGCAGGTGGCTTAATGCAAGCTAATTGGCATGTTCATATATGATCCCCAAGGAACATCTTTTCCAAAGTGACAGTAATGCTGTCTCAATGTTTTTGCACATTTGCACTTTGCAATGTTGAGCACATTTGAATAAACTATAATCTATTAGATGTGAAAGAATGTTGATAAGCAACTGGAATCCTGATATGGACTAAAACCTCCTTCAAAGGCAAAATGTTAGTACATTATAACTTAATTCTATATACTATATTATGCAGCAAATCTTAACTATAGAAAATATTTCAATCAGTGATGGACTGTTGGTAATTTGTAAAGAGGGAATCTATGATCAAGGCAAAAACTAGGGAACCACATAATTTGTGTCTCAGTTTCTACAGGAATTTACAGGCTTTCAAATTACTAATGAAAAATAAAAACAAGAGACAAGTGGATTTAGCTAACTTTATTAACTTTAAATCTAATAAAAATCCCAAGACAAGCCTGGAATCCTTAGAAATTCTATGAATTCACGTATATAAACCCAAACAAAAACCCTGCAGCTTTAAGTCCTTATTGAATGGTTTTATATTAAAAAAAACACAAACCAACAAAACCCAAACAAATAAACAAAAAACATAGAAAAAAAAATCCCAAAAAAACCAACCCTCAATGTGCGCAGATACTTCAATTTAAGTTAGCAGAAGACCAAACAGATTCTAAGCTCTTTTTCCATGTCCCTAAAAATTCTTTCAGTCTGCAAGTATCTACAATCCAGCTAACTGAAATCAACATTTAGTGTTCACTAAGAGCTGTTTCACAGCAGCATATATTTAAGTTAGGGATTCAAATTTCTAGACATAGAGAAAATGATAAATACAATCTGAACAGCAGTCTAAATGTTTAATATTGACATTCAAATATATCTGCATTGTGCTGAAATTTTTAAAACAAACACAAAAATCTGATCAGACAAAAACTCTGGTGATGAGTATGCTATATGTATCAGTCAAACTGAATATAATGCATATTCTGTTCCCAGTATTAAGGATGTTATTTGACTCATAACTGATCTTGTAAATATACAGCAGCCATTTTTTCCTAATTAAGGAATGTCTCAATACATAATATTATCCTTTTCTAGATGATCTTTATACATTTCAACTAAAATATATATGATCGATTAAATTAAGGAATTCAAGGTTAGTAATGAGTGAAATCATACTTTCAAAGCTTGATACTACATAAAACAAACCAAAAAAGAGACCACACAATTCTACTTACTAAAGCAGCTAATCTCGCCTGCAAGTTTGGGGTCACAAAGCCCATAATATGTGCAAACAAATGCAATACAAGGAACCATGCAAAAATACAGTAATGAATTTAAAGAAAAAATGTAAAACAAAACAAATTTATAAATACACTGAAACTCAACTGTCTTCTACATAAACTGTAGGTCTAGCATTAGTTGTACCATATAGCAGAGCCAGCACTCTGGGTTCAATGCTTCCAAATCTGCGCAGGTAAGTCATGCCATCTTTGGTTGACTGCAGTACCAGCAAGGATGAGAGGGAGTGACAGGGAGGACAAGAGTTCTGGAAAGCAGTGTCAACTTTCACTAGGCAGCTGAGCCTCAATGTCCACTCTGCAAATGGGGCACTTCTTGTTAGTAATCAACCACTGATCTACACATACTTGGTGGAAAAGGTGCATACATGGAAGGCGCCTGTCATCAGAACACAAAAACATCAGTGTTAATAAAGCATTTCCATATCAACAACCCCATTGGAAAACAAACAGTGTGGCCTTTGCTACTGAGGTCTGTTCTTTCTGTTTTCTCAAGTTTCAGAGCCTTTCCAGCTGCACATGCATTCTGTCTAGTTCCAAAGAAATGGATGTGGGCAATGAAGTCAAGCATCACCTGGCTTCTGCTGTGTTAGACTGATTTAAACCTGCTGAAGTTTAAGTAGCATTACTCCAGAAACACTGACAGTCCTGATTAATTCAGGCATCAGCTTGGGCTCATGTTGTAACACAGACAGTCAAACTATGGAATAACCCACACTCTACCTAATGACAATAGAGACTGAACAATGTGCATTTTCAACTGCAACTTGTTTTACTGTACTAGTTCAATGCAGTAGTTAACTGTAACTGTTAACCTCAGCAGTACAGCAAAGCAGGGTACCAGATTCAAGTATGGTGCCAAAGCCAGAACATTAACATTATATTTGGATATTCAGTGTTATTTACCTGACATCTTCACCTTCCTCCAATATAGACAAACAGATGGTGCACTTTTCCTCTGTGTCTTCTTCTGTTCCTTCCTCCCCATCTTGTTTGCAGTGCAGTTTCCTCTGTGAGAACCAATCAGTTGTTACCTTGTTAGTAGAGATGACATTATTGACAAACTGAGTAAAATCTGTTTTTGATACATATTCAACACATTTATTTGAAAACATTTTGTAATACTCATTAAAATGTATTTGAATCAAAATGAAGCAGCACTTGGAGCAAAACCCAGGACATTTCAGATTTAACTATTGTTAATTACAAAAGTCTACTGGAACCAGTCCTTTTACTTATTGTCTATGTTTAACTATCTTTCATTCATGTAGAGGCAAACAAAAATCCTTTCAACCTATTTATCAATTATGAAAAAAGTGTCATGTGGATAGGATTGTATCTTGCCATAGACTGAACTCTCGATGAGAGACAACCCCAGTTATCCAAACTCTGTACCCCAGTTGAAAACCTCCTGGTGTTCCAGTCTTCCCCATGTGTTCAAAGTAAAGGTTAAATTGATACATACCAAGCAGGTAAGCACTGTGAAGTGTTTACTGCAAACATAAAGCTTTCGTTTGTGAGCTATCACTGAAGTCTGTTATTGGCTATTACCAGCAGTTATTTCACTACTCACAAGGCTACTCATAACTACTGGACAAGTTAATCATATCAAAGCACTCCTGTTTATCACATCACAGCAGCTCTCTATCTAAGCAACTAATTTTAAATTTTCCTTGTGAAACAAGTGGCACTGTAAGCTTTGTTTACAATCCTTGAAATTTCAAGATACAGAAAACATGCCCTCTTTGAAGCTGACATTTCTGCAGACTTAAACTAACCATTCACATTATCACAAGTTCAAAGAAATATTACAGACAGGGCACAATTTGAGAAATCCTCACCTTTTTGTATTT